CCAAAAAAAGAGCAGAAGAAAGAGTGAATTAGGCAGAGAAAGACAAAAGCCCTTAAGTTGCAAAGAGTTGGATTTTTCTAGGAAATCAAAGACCAGTATGGCTGAAACACCATGGCTAAAAGGGAAAATTGAAAAAGGTGACAGTGGAAATACAGATAACACATAGGTTATGTAATGCTTTAGGTCATGGTGAGAAGTGTAGATTTTAAGACACATCACACCAAAATTTATGGGTTAGGTAGCCAGAATTTGGGGGGATGCTGGAGTGGTTGACTGACATGAGGAAGACTTGAAATAGTGGGGATAGGTTTAATGTAAAACAAAGATATCCATTTTGGACATATTGAGTGTCCATGAGACACCCAAGTGGATATGTCAGGTAAAATAAAGTTAAATTTTACATTAGGAAGAGGGTTCAAAGTTAGCACATAAATTAAATGCTTGTAGGACACAACTTTACCTAAACAGTGGAATATATAAGGAAAGTTCCTACTGGGGATATAAACTTGGGAATCATCAGTCTATAAATGGGAATTAAAGTACTGGAGATTGATGAGATTACTTAGCAAGAAAATGTATAAAGAGGAGTAAGCCTAGAACTGAACAGTAATTAATCTTGTGGAAAAAAACTGTGAAAAGACTCCAAACAAGATGGAATCTTTGGCTAACAGAGACGTTTTAAATTTAAAAGCAGAACCAGGCAGCCATGGGAGGTGAAAGAGTGGTCACATACTCCATGTTCTCAGAAAAAAATACTGCCCTTGACAAACATCCTGCTTGCACAGCCCTTAGCCAAATTAGTTCCTGTAACCAAGGACTGAAAATTCCCCAACCAACCGAAATCTTCAATCTAAAGGGACTTGAGATTTCAGACTTGAAAATCACCCAATCAGGACCCAGCAGCCTTGGCCACTTAGCTATGTCAGCCAATCAGAACTAAACAAGTTTGAGTCCTTCATTTGCATAAACAGACTGGGATGAGAACTTTCTCTACAAAAGCAAAACACTCCCTTTGTTCCCCAGAATGCAGCTTTCAACTACAAAGGCTGCACCTCCCCAATCTGTGGATTGTTTCTCGAAAATAAAAACTCACCTTTTGGCCTCTATAGATCTCATGGTCTTGTCTTAAAAACTTCAACATTTAGAGATAAGGTAGAGGAGATTACCTACACAGACTGAGAAGGAATACCTAGTGAGGTAGTCGAGAAGCTAAGAGACCATGATGTCATGGAAGACAACTGAGGAAAGTGTTCAAAAAGAGAGTGTTTAAGTATTTATTTCAAAAGATGCCAAGAAGCTGGGCTAATGAAATAGAAGAAGCTCTTTTAATTCCAGCACATGAACATCACTGGTGACTTTAATGGAAAGCCAACAGAGTGATAAGTATAGAAACGTTGGGACTGCGTTAAGGAATCAATAGGAAATAAGAATAAAGCTAACTTTCTAAGTTTTTCATTTTTTTTTTTTTTTTTTTTTTTTACTGTGAAAGGACTCAGAAAAATGGTGGTAGCTAAGGATGAATGTAGTTGAAGGCTTTATAAATATTCTTTTTAGATGTGGATGGGAGAGAGTGTTGATACAGGATAGGGAAGGGAGTGACTGTAAAATGAAGTCCTTGAGGAAAGTAGAGATAGGATCCAGAACACAAATGGCAGGAGAAGGAACATCTTCACTGTTAGGGAAGGGAAGAAAAGATGCATACATAGTTATGTTTATAAATTGTGGAGAAAGATGGGGGTGCTCCTGTCTGATGAACTATATTTCTCAAATGAAATATGAGATATTGTTATCAGCTGGGGTAGGGTTAGGTATAAAATAATTGACTCAAAGTGGAAACTACACTTATTTGGTAAATAAATAATATTTCCTGGTAGTGTTGATTGTCTCAATTTAGGTTTATAATTATGAATTTAATGTGAAACCTTTCTCCTACAGTGATACTCATGTGCACAAAAATGTATGTATATATAGTAATTTCAATTGTGGTATTGTTTTATTATCAAATGGCAGAAACCCAAATGTTCAGCATAAGGAAGTGGATACATTTTTTGGGTACATTACATAATAGAATGCTATGTAACTATAAAGAAATAAGTAACTTGTGATGGTAGGGAAGAATTTTAAGATATATAATTGAGTAAATGAACAAGATGCAGAATAACACATGATATTGCTTAATTTATATTAATAATATTAGAGCCGAGTAGAGGGAGACACAGAAATTCGAAGTCTTTGAAAGAACAATAAACAACCTCTTCTTTCTTCTAGTGCTCTGAACAATTGACAAAGGAAACAGAGAAATAAGGTAGAAGAAGCTAAATTATCACCTTTTTTTTTTTTTTTTTTGAGACAGAGTCTCACTTTGTTGCCTAGGCTGAGTGAGTGCCTTGGCGTCAGCCTAGCTCACAGCAACCTCAAACTCCGGCTCAAGCGATCCTGCTGCCTCAGCTCCCGAGTAGCTGGGCTACAGCATGACCACCATGCCCAGCTAATTTTTTGTATATATATTAGTTGGCCAATTAATTTCTTTCTCTTTATAGTAGAGACGGGGTCTCGCCCTTGCTCAGGTTGGTTTCGAACTCCTGAACTCAAATGATCCGCCCACCTCGGCCTCCCAGAGAGCTAGGATTACAGGCGTGAGCCACCACGCCCGGCCAAATTATCACCTTTTAAAGTTGATATATTAACGAATGTACTTTGTATGTCTAGGCAAATGAGTTTCCTAATAGTGAACCTCAGAATTAGCATATTCAGCCACCCACAGTGCAGCAACCGGCCAGGGCAGGCCTCTTCCCATCTTGGCACAAGGGCAGAGCTTGATTTTAGAGGGATATAAGGAAATGTGTGCTCTCTGCAGGTAGGCTTATTACCAAGAGGAAAAAGGAAGAGTTGAGCTAAGCATGCCCAGTATATCTTCCCAAATTTTCCATTCAGACAAGTTTTTCTACCTCTCCAAGCAGAATGAATAAAGAAGCAAACTAGGTATTATAAAAGGAGCGATCGTAATAATCACCCTTAGAATTTAAGCCAGACAATGAAGAAAGCAGAAGGAAGCTGGAGGAGGGGGTGGAGGGGTTGGGGGGTGTGTGGGGGGGTGTTGTGTAGAGTCAAGGTACTGGGAGTCTCCATGAAATCAACAAATTGTGGCTGTACGAGTTCTACAGAAAACAAGCAGAAAAGATAAAAGGAAATATTAGTCAAAAAGTCAGATATTTCAGCCACGAATTCAGAGATAGTGCAAACTTTGATTCTGATAATGGTTATTTCCAATTCCCATCTAGGAGTGTGCCTAGAGTGGAATGGAAGCAAAGGTGTTAGAGGTGAGCAGATCAAAGAACTGAGAAAGCAGATGTAGAATGGGTTATTTACATAGATAAAATTCTACTGCTGACATAGCAGAAGGAGGTGAAGAGAAAACTGTGATCCAAAAGCTAAAAGTCTTCAGTGGATGAGGGGAGGGAGGACATTAAATATTACCAATTAGAGGGAAGCGGGGAAGGAGTTTTGAGGAGAGATTTAATCTATAGGAAGAAGGGAGTGAAATGGTTTGAAAGCAACAATGAGACACAAAGATGTCTGTTCTACTTCTTAGCCCTGAGGTACTATGTGTGTTAAGAGAAAAAACAGCTTTCACATGAGAAGGCTGCAAGAGGCCCAAGGATATCAGAGCTCAGGCAGATTTCAGTTCATGCAAGGAACCATTCAGAAAAGAGGCTGAGGTCATAGGGCGGTTTGTTGATTACAGAGTTAAACATTCTGGGGGGCATTTTGGAGGTCACAGTGAAAGGACTTGGAAGCTAAGGAAGAAGTTAAGCAGTGCATCATTCCCCCTGTACCCTATTTTCAATTCACATAAAATACAATGAATTCCCTAGGTTCTGTAACATGAGGGCCCTGGGGGCAATAATTGGAGCAATATGAGAATGAGCATTTGGGGGAAGCTTGGCTCAAATAGAAATAAACAGAGGTAAAAAGAGATGTGAGGCATGATGGAACTATTTCTTATAGTCTCTTAAAGGAGGGCGGTACTTTGTTTCTAACATTAAGGTATCAATGTCTTAGTTTGTTAATAATGCAGCTTTGGGGTAAGCATTCACACTGGCTTTCCCAAGAGGTACTAAATCCTGATTCTTAGTTTCTAAATATTTCTCTGGTTAATCCTCTCTTCCCTATTCCTACTGTTACTGCCGTAGTTCAGGATCTCATTTTCTTTTCCCTGGGCTTCTGCAGAAATCAGCATCATTACTTGCCACGTCCCCACCTACTAAGCCCTTTGTTTCTCCACCATGTCAGTTTACCTGGCATTTTCTACTCATGCCATGCTTTCTGACTGCTACATGCCTTTGTACTTGCTGTCTTTTCCAGTGTTATCCTTTCTCTCCTTGTTTGCCAAGTAACAACCCATCTTATTCTATTTTAAGACCCATTTTGAGTACCATTCTTTAAAGACTTTTCTGACTACTCCTACCACTTTGATGTCACAAACATTACAATTTCTCATGTGTGACTCTGCTATCTTATAGAAATGATTTATATTGGTTTCTGCAATTATGCTGCAAATTCCTAGGGCCAAGAGTTATTTCTTATACAGTCCACAATGCTTCATACATAATAAGTTCTTATTTCAGTCCACAATGCTTCATACATAATAAGTTCTCACTAAAAGTTTGTTGAATGAATAATATAATGCATCAGTGACATATCCATTTATGTGTTATTCACCAAAGGGTATCTTTCAGTAGTTTTCCTCCTTCCTCTCTCATTAACAGCAATGGAAGATAGTCTCTCAATTCCCTCTCATGTTCAATCATAAACAAAGCCCTTACTCACAGTTTTTTTTTTACCCATCCAAAGGACTTAGTTCTTCTGTTTCCTTATTGATTTATCTCCTTACTCTCACCTTTTCAATGGGCTTTCCCCCCTCTGCTGTCAAGTATATTCAGGTTTTAGTGATTCATCCATAATACCACCACCTTGACTCTGCTGCTCCTTGTAGATACCTCATTACTTGAGCCAGATCTTCCCACCAATGTAAGTTGCAAAAGCATCTGTTTATTCTTCTTGTCAAGCAGGTAACTGTCAGATTGCACAAATGAACACATGCACAAAAACAAAAAATAGAAATCTTAAAGAAGAAATAAAATATTTTCCCAATATTCTATAATTTTGCAAGGTCACCATATAAGAGCTGAGCCAAATTTTAGAAATTACTATTTATTGGGACCAATTTAACATTTTAGACAAAGTCCAGAGGATAGAGGGAGTTACTAATTTTTTCAGAACCTGATGAGAGGTATATAGACCCTCATCCTAGAAAAAAGCACATTATCATTTTTTGCTTAGTTTCAGAGGTTCACAGATCCAGATTCAAAACTCCCTCATATATGAAAATTTAGCAGTGCTTAGAAATTGGCTTAAAGGTTTCCTTTTTCCTAATATTTACTTTCTAATTTTCCTAAAATGAAAATAAATTATTTGTATTAAAATATATAAATTTGTTATGTTAAAAATAACCTCATGCTATATGATATGCATAAAGCATCTTGTAAAATAAATTCATTATGTGGTAGACTTGTCAAAGACTGACAGACTTTGGATTAGAAATGACTATAATACAAGGTACTCAGTTTTCCCATCTGTGATATGGAGCAATTAATATCAATCTATGTTGTATACATTAATACTTGCAAAATTCTAATAACTGTGATTTTTCTATGTTCCCTCCAGGTAACCTCTGTCATTTAAGTTGTAGTTTTCTTCCCTAGTCTTGAAGCAGTTATAATGCCACAGCTGTTTCTTCAGCTATGCTGTTTTCTGTGAACAAACACCTGCTTAGAATGTACCTAAGGAGTTATTTCTTTGTTTTTTGATAATTAAAGCACTGCTATGGTGATGGCTGACATCTGGATTCACTTTTAAAGACTTTGTTGTGTTTTTCTGGCTCCTGGGAGACTCATGAAGTATAATGCATTAAATGGAAATGTGGTGATGTGCTTCATTTTGCAATAGCAATTTTACTCTTGCTTTGTTATTTCCCCACTGCAATGAGTGAGAGCTGCTACTCCGCTGCTGCTGCTAAGAGATTAGGGGAGCTGAGCTGAGCTCTAGAAATTTAATATGCCATATAATGCCTAATTTATTTTGATTCTAGCTTTGACTTGAATAGATAAACTCTCTTGGGGCTGCTATGCAGAATCAATAACCAGGGATTAAAAATTTTTTATAAACTGGTTTTGAAATAATTTCTTTTGGGGGACATAAAAGTCTAAGGTCTCTTAACTATTTCTAACAGTAATAGAGAAAGAGAAACTTGGTAAAAATATTCCAATAATATATATTATTTCCTTAAAAGCTACATTCTTTAATCTCTACTCAATAATAACTCACTAAACTTTTCTAGGGTTTGCTTTCCAGCATTCTGTACTTTTGTTTCAGGTGATTATAAATTATATTCATTTTCTACCTTGATATTCTTAACCTTCTACAGGTAACAATACTTCAAATACAAATACGTGTTATTAGCCAGGGCTCAGAGTTGTAACAGAAGCTGATTCTGGCTGAGTGAGCAGAGAAGAAGTTTGTTAAAAGAAGATGGGGGAACTCGGAGAATCAATGGGAGTCTGGAGGAAAAGGCAAACTAAGCTTCCAGGAACAATGCTTAAAACTACCCATAGAACTGGCCCAGTGAGGAAGTCACTGCCACTAGTAACTACGGCCCCACCAAACACTAAATGTAACTGCTGCCACTCCCACTGCCCAGCAAGGCCACTGCTGGACTAGAAATTTAACCTTTCAAGCACTGCCACTCCAAATGTCAGATGCCTTTATCAGCAAATTGGTTTCCAAGCAGAATCTTTCCTTCCCCAAGTAACTAACTTCCAAATCAAAGTCTTCTGCAAGTGTGCTGCATGTGAAACCTAGGTCATGTGTCTGCACATTAGTTTTGAGAGTCTGGAAACATTTTCAGAGCTTACCTTGAGGAAGCAACACTTACATTAAGATTGAAAATTCCCTAAACATAGCAAATATGTTCAAAACATCCTGGGCTACCAGAAAATATGAAAATGTTTACTATAGGAGAAAATTAATTTTGGAAAAGAGTATATTCTAAGTACCAGGTGGTTTAAATTACATTATTTAATCCTCACAAAAATAGATATTTAACTTTATTTTATTATTTTTTATTTAAAAATGTTTTGTAGAGACAGAGTCTTGCTGTTTCCCAGGCTTGTCTTGAACTCCTGGTCTCAAGTGATCCTCCTACCTTGGCCTCCCAAAGTGCTGGGATTACAGGAATGAGCCACTTCACCCAGCCTAATTTCATTTTAATGAAAGGAAAATGAGGCTCAGAGATGATGTTACTAGTTTTAGGTCATTTTGTTGGTAAAATGGAGAGCACAGGTTTATGTCCAAGCTTTTATCCTCTAAGAATTCTTCCCTTTTAAACAACATAACTCTAATTTCCATTTCCCAACTTCTAATGCACATACAAGCAGTGATATACAAAGTAGTGGGGCAGAGAGGAGAGTGGAAGCATCAGCTCTGAAAGCAGGCAACAAGATGTATATTATCTGCAAGAAAATTTAAAAACAATAATAAAACAGACTACAAATGGGTCTGCCTTTTTGATGATTATTATCATGTGACATCAATTCTAAATAATGTCAGCAATAAAATATTCCTAAGGTAAACTGTTCTTCACTCCTTGGTATACCAGTATATATAAGAAGCCTTCAATTTAATTTTCAAAAGATTTTTTTAAGAGAAGATTGTTTAGAACTTATAATAGAAGTGCCATAAACAGTCTTATGTTCCTAGAATAGATCATAAAGAAATCATTTAACACATGATGTACCTAAGTACCTATCTTTCAACATAGTTTCTAAGAAAAAATAAATTCTAATTTTCATTTTGGAAGCACATCTGTCCCAATTCTGATAGTATGAGCAGAGGTTCTTTTATTTTCTAGCAGTATCAGAGCCTCTGGTGATAATGCAGAACGTACCTGGAGAGCTCCTTTGGCATAGAGGCTCTCTTGGCAAAGTGGCTATTGCTGATGAAGAGGAAGAAGATAGATTCTGATAATTTATACAGTGCCACCGAAAAAGGCACCTCTTTAAGTTGGCATGAGACAGTAACTGTTTAGGTGAATCCCTAGGTGTAGAGAATTTGAGATCTTCAAGAATTAACTTTACACTATCACCAAATTATACATTGAAGTCATTCATAAATCAGGTGTTAAAAAATAGAACCAGCTGGATTCTTTTTTTTTTTTTAGTGAGATTGGAAAACTACAGATGTTAAATTTAACCTTCAGAGTTTCCATGTTTCCTTATAGATTATATAAAGAATATTATTGTCATTCTTAAATATATATATTTTTCCAAATGTAAATCTGTGATTTGGCAAGATTAACTGACTTGTATTATACATATAGCAGAGCCTAGTGTGAAAAATTCTATTTCATATACACAAAAAGCTATTGAAAGGAAGGCATAAATATAGAAATAGCATATTGTACAAAAATGACTGATCACTAGTTAATACATTAATAAAAACCAATAACCATTTGTATTAGAGTTCTATAGAGAAACAGAACAAATAGTGTACATCTATATATATATCTTATATATATATATAGAGAGAGAGGGGGTAGAGAGAGAGAGAGAGAGAGAGAGAGAGAGAGAGAGAGAGAAAGATGAAGAGATATTTATTATAAGAAATTGGCTCACACAATTATGAAAGCTGAGAAGTCTGAAGATCTGCAATTAACAAACTGGAGACCCAGGAGAGCTGACGTATAGTTCCAGTCTAAGTTTGAAGATCTGAAAACTGTTAACTGCCAAGGTTTAAATTCCAGTCCAAGTCCAATTCCAAGTCCAAAGGCAGGATGTCCCAGCTGAAAGACAAGGGCAGAGAGAGTGAATTCTCCTTTACTCAGTTTTCTGTTCTATTCAGGCTTTCAATGGACTGGATGAGGTCCATCCACATTAAGAAGAACAACCTGTTTTACTTAATCTACCTAAGTGTTTATTTCATCCAGAAACACCCTCACAGACACAGCCAGAATAATGTTTAACCAAATATCTGGGCATCCTGTGGCTCAGTAAATTTGACACAGAAAATTAACCATCATGGTTTTAAAAAGGCCTATATTTCAACATGTCATATGAACACAATGGAATAAATCTAAAATTTACAGGAAATGTAGAAGAGTATGGAAAAAGTTAAATTACACTGTAGAGAAGAAAAGATACATCCAGAATGTGGGACATTTAAAAAAACAACTGACCTTGAAGAATATAGAGGATATAAGACATGTCTAGGATTGCTTTAAAATTCTAAAGAAGGAAAAAAGAAAACAAAAGAATAAAAAGAGAAAGGAATAGATGAAGCAAGTGAGACAGATGTGGCAAAAGCTTGAAAGGTGTTGAACCTAGCTGATGGAAATAAGGAAGGGAGATATACTGTTCTGTCTACCTTTGTATTTGAAATTTTTCATAATGAAAAATTTAAAAAATAAACATGTGACTTGTGTCCCAAATATGCTCTTCCTATTGTTTCCCCTTACTAATAGCACTGACTTTAATAATCCCACAAATCACAAATTTGTATATCATTTTTTATTCTTTTTTATCATACCCAATAAGTCACCAAGTCTTATAGATTCTATCTCCTAAATATCTCTAAAATACGTCCTCTCTTCTTGGCCTAGTCAAATCCTAATACTATCTAACCCAAACAACTGTAACATCTTGCTAGATGGTCTTACTTTCTGTAATAATTAGTCTCAGCTAATTGTATTCTATTATCCACATAACTGTTAGAGTTATCCACCTAAGCATGAGTGAGATCATGAAATTTCCTTGCTTAAAACCTTACAATGGCATCCATGTCCTTCAGGATAACAGTGCAAACTCCTCTGTAAGTCTCAGAAATTTCTTAACACTATCCCCCCATCCCCAGCATCTTCAGCTTCATCCGTGCCACTCTTTAACTCAAACACTGCAATATTCTAAACTACTTGCACTCCAAGTACGTAATGCCCTCTTACCTTTCTGCTGTTGTATATGCTGCTATTTCAGCACCCTAACTCCTATTCATTCTCCTCTGATAAGTCTTCCCTCTTTCCCAAACTCAAACTACACTACCTACTCAGTACTCTGTACTCTACCCCACAGTAGCAGAGGTTTACCGCCATATTAGAACTTAAATTACAGAAAAGTAATTGTTTTCTGGCCTGACTTCTCCTACTAGACTGTAAACTTTCATTAATGCAATGACTTTGTCTTTTATCTTTGCAACCCCAGCATTTGGTACAGTTTTTGGTATAAATAGTATGTACTCAGGAAATTTAAAAAAATGAATGCTGGGTTCTACATAGTATACATGTTAAAAAGGTGACAGTCTAGTAAGGACAAATCAAATTCATATAACCAAAACAGAAGTTATGAGATGTGCCACAAAAGAAGTTCAAATGAAATTCTTTAATTATTTTAAGGAGGGAACTCTTAATTCTAGTTTTAGGGTGGGGTGAGGGTACAGAATTGAGAAAGGTCAAGGGAAAAGATGGCAATTGAGATGGCTCTGCCAAAAAGAATTTTAATACTTGGAGATGCAGCAAGTATAAGGAATGGATTAGGTCATGGTACTAACATAGTAAAAAAGAGCATGTTGTACAAGATCATAGAGTAGCGTCACTGAGCATTTAACAGAGTACTGGAAAAAGCTGGAGAAGTAGGTTATGCTTTAAATGTTGACTAAAGAGGCAGTATTTGATTTAGAAGGCAACTATAGTGTAATTAAAGGCAGTAATTAGCAGAAGACAGACTATTAGAGCAATGGTGCTTGTCTCGGTAAGGAATAATGAGGTCATCTTTGACAGGTAGTATATTATAGTCAGGCAGGCAGACTAGGGTTCAAATGCTGGTTCTGTCACTTAGTGTTATGATGTTACTTAACCTTGCTAAGTCTGAGTTTCCTCATTTATTTGAATAGAATGTTGTGATTAAATTTATGTAAAGAGATTAGAAACAGGGCTTGTATTAAGCAATGATATTTCAGCTGCAACTGATAAAAATTCAACTCCAATCAACATAAGCAAATAAAAGAAATTATTAAAAGATTACTGGCTAAATCAATGGAACAGATTAGAAAGCCCAGAAATAGACTCACACAAATATAGTCAACTGACCTTTGACAAAGGAGCAAGGGCAATGCAATGGAGCAAAGACAGTCTTTTTAACAAATGGTGCTGGAATAACTGTACATCCACATGCAAAAACAAACAAAAGACAAACTAGACACAGACTTTACATCTTTAACAAAAATTAACTCAAAATATATCATAGACTTAAATGTAAAATGCAAAACCACAAAGTGCTGGAAGACAACAGGAGAAAATCTAAGTAACCTTGGGTTTGGTAGTGTTCTTTTAGATACACTACCCAAAACACCATTCATGAAAGAAAAAATTGATAGCTCAACTTCATTAAAATTAAAAACTTCTGCTTTGTGAAAGACACTGTTAAGAGAATGAAGAGACAGGCCACAGACTAGGAAAAAAATCTTTGCAAAACACATACCTGGTAAAAGACTGATATCTGAAAATATAAAGAACTCTTAAAAGCTAAGTAGTAAGAAAATAAATAACCCAATTAAAAAAATCAGCAAAAGATCTGAGCAGATACCTCACCAAAGAAGATATTTATATGGAAATAAGTGTATGAAAGAATACTCAAATAATAGGTCATCAGGGAATTATAAAATAAAACAACAGTGAGATACCAATATACACATATTAGAATAGCCAAAACCCAGGCCGGGCGCGGTGGCTCACGCCTGTAATCCTAGCTCTCTGGGAGGCGGAGGTGGGCGGATTGTTCAAGGTCAGGCGTTCAAAACCAGCCTGAGCAAGAGCGAGACCCCGTCTCTACTATAAATAGAAAAAAATTAATTGGCCAACTGATATGTATATAAAAAAAAAAAATTAGCCGGGCATGGTGGCGCATGCCTGTAGTCCCAGCTACTCGGGAGGCTGAGGCAGGAGGATCTCTCGAGCCCAGGAGTTTGAGGTTGCTGTGAGCTAGGCTGACGCCACGGCACTCACTCTAGCCTGGACAACAAAGCGAGACTCTGTCTCAAAAAACCAAAACCCAAAACACTGACAACACCAAATGCTTATGAGGATGTAGAGCAACAGCAACTCTCATTTATTGCTAGTGAGAATGCAAAATGCTACAGTGATTTTGGAAAATAGTCTGACAGTTTATTACAAAACTAAACGTACTCTTACCATTCAACCCAGCAATTATACTCTTTGGTATTTACCCAAATGACCTAAAAACATATTTCCACACAAAAACCTGCACATAAATGTAGCTTTATTCATAATTGCCAAAACCTTGGAAGCAACCAAGATGTCCTTCAATAAGTGAATAAGTTAACTCTGATACATGAATATAATAGATTATTATCCAGTAATAAAAATAAATGTACTATCATGCCAAAAAGTTCTGCTTAAAGGAAGGAAACTTAAATGTATTTTTCTAAGTGAAAGAAACCAATCTGAAAGAGCTATATACTATATAATTCCAACTATATGACATTGTGGAAAAAGCAAAACTATGGAGACAATAAAAAATATCTGAGGTCTCCAGGGAGGGAGAGATGAGTAGTTAGAGCACAGGGGATGTTTAGGGTAGTAATACTGTAATGGTGGATCCATGGCATTACACATTTGTCAAAACCCATAGAATATACAATACAAAAAGTGAGCCCTAATGTAAACTATGAATTTTAGTTAATAACAATATTATAATATTGGTTCATCAGTTACAACAAATGCACCACACTAATGGAAGATATTAATAGGTTATAGGGAAACTAGGGTAGGTAGTTAAAAAGACACAGTATATGGGAATTCTCAGTACTTTCCACTCAATTTTCTGTAAACTAAAAATACTCTAAAAATAAAGTTTTTAATTTAAAAATTCACTAAGCAATATAAAATTCATGCACTTTAATATAAAATGTAAAAGTTGTACTTAAAGGCTGTTGTGATAATTCCCCAAAAGAAGTCTAGGGTTTAAAGGACTAGAACTAGGGATTTGATGACTCTCTTGTTTTGTTGTCATCTTCTAATAATTAGGCAAGTTTTCTTGACATGTCAGGAACAATGACAGCTCCTGCCACCACCACCAAAAAAAAGGCCTATGTTGATATCTGAGGCTGGTGGCAGTGTGGGAAATCTGGGGTGCTAAATCAACTAGGAAATTGTTATTGAAGGCTTAAAAAATAGTGATCTAGTTTTGTGATAGCAAAAACAACTGGCAACACTGTTGCTTGCAGTAACTCAAAAGATACCCAAAAAAATGCCTATAGAAATTTTTAAAAATTAAACTTACTTTTAAATAATTATAGATTCATGTGCAGTTGAATAATACAGAAAGATTTCATGTACCCTTTACCCAGTTCCTCAAATGGTATCATCTTGCAGAACTACAGTACTATTCTTTGTTCTGAAGTCTGTTGTATCTGTTATTAATATAGCCACTCCTGGTTTCCTTTTTTTAATATTTGCATGATATATCTTTTTCTATTATTTTACTTTCTACCTGCCTATATCATTGTTAAAGCTTCAGTCTGCCATCTTAAATTTTGTTTGCTGTTTGTTCTGGGTAATTTTTTTTCTTTTTCCCAGCTGTCTTCTTTTCCTGACTTCCTATGGGTTACTTAAACATTTTATTTCCCCTTCACTATGAAGGATATTTTGACTGGGTATAAAATTCTGGGTTGACAGTTCTTCTCTTTCAGCACTTGGAAAATATTGTGCTATTTCCTTCTGGTCTCCATGGTCTCTGAGGATAAATCTGCTATCATTTGTTTTTCTTCTATAGG